TGTAAGAGGAAGAAACCTCGGGCAGAACCAGGCTCTGGTGTGAGCGATCGGGCACAAAGGGAGAGAGAAGAGATTAGACGACACGAGACCAAACGCATGGTGGGAGAGAGCATTTAATACAGTGATGTCAGGCGGGGCAGCCCTGAAGGAAGGAGATCCCCTTCTCTACTCTACACTGGATGCTTGTATTCTTAAAAGAGCTGCGCTGTATGTTTAAGTCTTTTAAACAAACGCCAGCAGTATGAACGTTTAGCTCTAAATGTACAGTCACACCGATTAAAGTAGTTACCATCTCTGAGAGGTTTTAATGGTGAGCGGGAGCTGGTTGTACTTCCTGAACGTGTTTCCTGTCATTTGTGCAAAATATCTGCAAACCTTTGGAGCTCAGCTAAGCAAAACAAAAGAGTCGAGCTTAGAAGAGGAAGTGGAGACGAGAATAACGCCAGGAACTTGGATTTAAGCTGTGTTTTCAATGATGTGGCTGATAGCATAGATGGGCGAGCCTTTTTAAGGCGTAATAGAGGAGAGGCTGTAACACGGCAGTAAGGGTATGCTAGTGTTTTAACCAATCGTATCTGTAATACTATGCTGACTAAAGACTGAAGGTTGATTCTGGGGTTTGAACTGTTTCATTATCATAAAAACAATAATAAACGAGAGGTGTGAAATGTGCAGTCACATTAAAATGATACAGATGTATATCATCCTTGTTAGTTTCTAAACTCAGTGCTCAGCTGAAGGTGGAAACCCTCCAGGTGCTCTTTAAGTTTCATCCTGACATCGTCCCGTATTTCCACGAACGCACCGTCTGAACTCTGCTCACTGTGTTGATCCGGCGCCGCCTCAGCTCTGGACACGCCTCCGCCGCTGTCTGTGAAGTATTCCACACCTTTTAGATCCAGCTCTGACAAAAGAACGTTTTTTTCTTCGCCGGCCACGTTCTCCACCGTGACAAAACGCTGCGGCTCGTCGTCGGTCGGGACAGTCAACAAAATCACCCGCCCGTCTGCGCTGTCCGGTAACCATAACAGCTGGTGCTGCAGGTCGCGGTGGTGATCCTGACTCGTCACGTCAGACTCTCCGTGGCGTTTGTCAGAGAGCAGCTTCTGCTGAGAGCCGAGATAATGCAAACTCTGCTCGTCAGTTTTAAGGAAGCACACTCCAGCTGAGACCAGATGCTGCACACCTGGATTTTGCAACAACACTTGGGAACTTGTCACACTGGTATCACTGGTTTCTTCGTCTTTCCAGCTTGTTTCTTGCTGCCTATCGATCTGAACGTGATGCACATTCTCAGCTGTGTCACAGGAGCTCGTTGCAACGTTTCTCTGGGTGTTCGGTGAGTCCTCGTGCTCCAAATGCCCCCCACTCTGCCCCTTTCCACAGTACAAACAGTTTCCCTT